TCATAAAAAAACAAGTATTTTATCCTATTTATAGACACTTGAAAAAGAAAGATCAGATAATAACTCATCAATGAAATGAATAATCTAAATATCTGATGTTTAAACCAATTATTATTTTTCTTCTAACAAGTTCATTATGATTTGTTTTGTCATTTGTTCGTTTTGAAGTGTCGATATACATAAATACGATTTGATCAATAATAAGACTATTTAACATTTATCATTTGTACATATACGTGTCAACATCGATAAAAAATACTTTACTTTCCTTATTATTGACCTAAGAGAGTGAAGTTGACCGCAAACAGCGAACTTTCACCGAACATTTTTATATACATACGAAACAGAAAGAAAGGGATCAGTCAACCATAACTATTTGAGTGATATAGATAAAATAAAAAAAAAATTTAATTCTCAATAATCATTAATCATTATCATATACGAGAGAGAGATTTTTGGTCAGAGAAAAAAAAATATTTTAATTTTAATTATTTTCTCTTTCTCTCTCTCGATAAGCATATCAAAAGTAATGCATTTGTTTTTTATAAATAATTACATGTTCAATGACAAACTATATTTTCTTTTTTCTTATGAATATAAACTTCATTTTCTCATTTATTCAATCAATTAAGGTTTCTTCATTCCCTTGTTCTAACTGTAACAAATTTTTATTCATATAGCCTTTTCAATGAGCACACACACAGGTTCACGTAACAATTATCAAAAGAGAATTGGATGCGTGAATAGGTAAATGAAGGTCTTAACTAGATCTTTATAATATAGACGAACAAAATTATATTAACTTGTCATTACATTGTTCAAGGATTTTCTTGAATAGTATGACTTTCCAATCATATATTGATAACCGTAATAACAAAAAAAAAAGAGAAAAGAAAAAGAAAAAGTATAAAACAATCTTTTTCAATTACATTCTTTGTTTCAACATGACCGGAGTAACCACGTCGACTTGCTGTTTTTTATATTACTCTAGTTGTACGTGTGGAAGTACTCTAATTTTAGATTGAACTTCTATTCTCTTTAATCAATACCCATGTATCCAGGTCCTTTTAAACCAGTACCAATGGGTTTTCAATATCCTGGACAACAACCAGCATCATCACTTTATCAATCACCATATGGTGCTTATAATAATTATGCACCACCAACACGTGAACGATCAGTACCAGCATCGACTAAAGCGAATCTACCACCTACTGGACCTTATGCTCCAACACCAACTCGACGACATTCAAAACATTCACGACCAACACAATGTCAACATTATGATTATAATAATACTAATCAGGAATCAAAATGTAACTCAAGTTTGTTTTCTTTTTCTTCTTCTTTTGATATATTAAAATTAAATTGAATTATTGATTTTTCTAATAGCTAAACGATATCAAAGACAACCATATACACCACCAAATGGCGTAGCTGATCAAAGTTTATATTCGGATGAAGTCAAAACTTCAGAAGAACTTAATAGAAGTCCTTCACCTCCATCAAAAAGCCGTTTAAAACCGGAAGATATAAATAATTTTGATCACGAACAAAAACTTAATGGATATAAGCATGCAAGTGGTGAAATTGTTCAAAATGGAGATGAATTACGAAATTCTCAAGATTATAATAAACGTAAATCACGTTCAAAACGAAGAGCACATCATCGACATCATCATGGACCACAACCATCTTCATCACAAAAACGAGTAACTATTTATTCGAAAAAAAATAATGAGATTCGAATGTTTGTTTTTTTTAAGAATCAACATCCACCACTTTACAATAGCCATTATCAAAGTCATGAAGATTCATCTCGACGTGATGATGCCTATTATAAACAAGCAAAACGTCCAGCACGAGCAACACATATAGATGAACGTCATGCAGCAGGTGTTGTTCATCCTCCTGAACGACCATATTCCAGTGTTTATTCACCTTATAGTCCTTATCAACAACCACCAGGTTATTATACACCTGCAGCACATTATAATCCACCTCCGCCAGTACGACAAAATCCACCTGATCTTAATAGTCCATTTGAACGAGAAATTCAACGTTTACGTAATCATATTCATGCATTAGAAAGTGAATTACAAAATTTACAAAGAAAAATACATAAAACGACATTAAATCATCCTGATACAGCAACACAAGATGATTATAATTTTAAAAAACATCGAGGAAAACGTCATAGTATGCGTTCACCTCGTCAAACACCTGTTATTGTTGAAATAAATAATGGACATGGTGATAATGTTCGAGATCTTTCATCAAAAAAACGTCATCATCGAGCAGGTAGTCATGTGAATTCTCAACGTAGTAAACAACAACAACCACAACTTCAGCCACAACCACAACCACCACAGGCACCACCACCACAGCAACAACAACTTCGTCATTCAAGTAAAGTTCCTGAAAGAGTTGTTAAATTACATAATTATAAAGCACCAAGTCAAAGTCCAAAAGAACAAGAAATTAATGTTTGTGATTGGTAAATATTAAAAAAAAGTTCTTCTATATTTTCTATACATGTATATTCGTTTTTTAGTGCATGTATAGTTACGAATCATATACCTATACCGGAACCAGATGTTAAACCTATACCTATAGTAATAGCAAAACAACCACGTGAAGAAGCTGCTGTACAATTAGCACAATTAGCACATGCTGCAGCTGCACGTGTTCAAGCTCGTCAACATATTCCACCACCACCACCTGTTCAACATCAACATGTTCAATTACCCGAACCATTACCACCTCAATCACAACAGATGATTCGTGATTTAAATGGTTCACATCCTCAAAAATTAATGTCAACAGATTTAAATAATAATCATAATCAATTAAATAATAATGAAATCTATAATTTAGGTGAACGAAATAATCGTTCAGCTGAAAAAATTCTTGATGCATTTGAACGTTTTTATAAAAATATTGGAAGATCATCAACAAGTCCAGTTAAAGTTAAATATATACCTGGAGAAGCAAATTGTAATCATTGTCAACATCGAAATATAAATACAAATACAAATATTCAATGTCCAACAGGAAGTCGACTTAGTCAAAGTTCATCAACAACATCATCCATTTCAGAGAGAGTAGTTATACAAGAGTGTAAACAAAAAACGGTATTATCTAGTAGAGTAGGTTCAATGCCTATCTTCTGTTTTTTTTCATTCTAGACATTTGCCTATGCCTAACTAACAAATGTTCATCGAGAATGGAAGCATATGATTTTACTCGTTAAAATACTATAGAAAACGAAAAAATTTCATCTACCAAAAAAATAAAAACTGAAAATGATCGTATACGATCGTTTGTATAAAAATAAAAAAAAGAAAATTAAGGAAGTTTTTTTTTTAATTTGTCTTTCTTATTGTTCTTCATAGTGTTTTTTTCTTCTCTTTGATAGAATTAAATACAGTTTGTTGCTTATTTATTTATTCTTTCTTTTTTCTTTTTATTAATTTATAAACATGCTGACACGTTCTTTAAATAAATTTTAATTATATAAATTTTAATGGAAAAATTCCAAAAAAAGAATTTTTAATTTGCATGTTTTCGTCGTTGTTTAATTGATTCAACGATTGCACGTGCAGCTGATTGACGACGACCACCATTCTTCAATGTATTTTCATGACGAACACCATGTTGAGCTTTTGCTTTAACGACTGTATCAGGACGATTTATTGAATGTTTACCTTTGATACCAATACCATTGGTATAATCAAATGAAGCAAATAAGACTAAACATGTGAAGAATACAGCGAGAATCGTTGTTAATTGCATTTTGATGTTTGTGAATTGTCTTGATTTAGTTTTCAACTTTTATATAGTCTCGTAACTCGAGGATTATAAAATAATAATCTCTTATCATTATGATCGTTAAAGATTGTTTCATAAAAGAATTTTTATTTTCTTTAGTGAAGATATATGTAATCAAGATGTTTATAGCATAGGTTTTATTTGACAATCAATTGTTTTAAAGGACATCTTATAATAAAATTTCTCAAGAATGTCGTTGATAATAGAGACGAAAAAACAACAAAGATTCATCTTCATTATAAAATACAATATATGATGAGAACAATTGACTTTAGTATTAAGATCCAAAGCTTACATTGAAAAGACATATACTGTACTTGATTATCATGCATTCACGCTGCCGCTAAACTAAGTACATGTATTTTAAAAACATCTGTTTTATTTCTCAAAAATGAGTACAAGAAAAATAATTTTTCTGTCTTCACGTTGGGGGCGTTATAAGCATAATCACATCTGCATTTATTCGCATAGTGAAACATTAGATAGTTCTTCGTATAAAACAAACCAAGATGTTTTGTATTAGCAAGTTATCCATCTATTTTTATTATCAACACGTTCAGACGATTCTAGCATGTTGGCTTCATTCTTTGTCCTTCTTTCTTTAAGTCTTATTATTGGTTCCTATGAGCAAAGTAAGTGACTAAAATGAAATTCACATCAATAATCTAAATTATTATGTATTATAATTCGTTTTATGTATTCGAAATATTCATATATTAATTTTTATTTTTATATTTATTTAGATGTGAATTCTATCGTAGCTATTGGTGATTCATTTACAGGCGCAGGTAGTGGTGGTGGTGTAACCAAATCTTATCCAATTGTTGCTGGAAATATACTTCGATGGCCAGCAGTTAATTACGCAAAAGGTGGAGCAGTTATGAAAGATATTCCCGGTCAATTAGTTAAAGCTGCATCTGCATTAGCTAGTGCAACTCATGTTGTTTTTACTATTGGTGGTAATGATCTTGGTGTAGCTAATTCTCTTCTACAAGTTATCTTAGCTAATAATATTACTGGTGTTACACAAAAAGCTAAAAGTCTCAAACCACAACTTGTCTCTACTTATAATCGTATTAAAGCTGCTGTTCGTCCACAAACTAAAATTTATGCTGTTGCATATGTTGATTTTATTAGTGTTGGTAACAAAATTCCTAATGAAGCTAGTTGTCATAAAATAATGGATATATTAACCGATACAATAAAAGAAGCTACTCAAGAAGCTGGTATTGCTTTTATTGAATCTGTTAAAACATGTTTTGTTGGGCATGAAATGTTTTCATCTGAACCATTTGTTGATAGTTTATTTGCTTCAACTAATGCAGCTCATCCAAATTCAAAGGGTTATGCTAAAATCGGCGAATTAGTTGCTGCTCATCTTTTATTAGATCAATAAATAAAGAATAAACTGCAATTATATCGTTGAGAAAAAATTTCATCTTATGATTTATTATTAGATGAAGACTTTTCGTATTTAGAAATGGTGTAATGCAATGACATTCACTCTTGACCACAAAAAACACACTCGGAAGTTTAAAGAGTAACTTTATACATTTAATTTGCTAGATACACAAATAATTATATGCAATAGATATTTTTAACCACTTATGAGTAACTATTACTGGTACTTTCAAGATCACACTACAGTTTTTAATCATAATCATTTATATTCATAATAAATTATTCAAGTTATCTAATACATATTATAAGAACTTGAAAATTCTGTATATCTGTATTAATTTCGAGTGTGAAATAAATATTTGTTTTTTCTTCCGAAAAAGTAATGTAGCAGAATAACTTGAGTGTTGTCAATGCATACAATCAAACTGCTTCTCAAAATGTCATCTACCTATAAATCAGTCACAACTTCATATTGCAAACATATACTTTTCCGTGAATGAAAATGTTAAGTATATATAACAGAGACTTAACAAATGAAATTCGACTACTTTATATCGGATCATACATAAATAAATCAATATGAAGTGAAGAGATGTGTGATGTCATGTATACTTCCGAATAATTTCATTGATATCTCGTTTTTCTTTCATAATTTTATATTTGAATATAAAGAAAACATAATTCATACCTCTATTCGTTACATATTAAGTTAACTTAAAACTTTTTTTCGATATATTTTTATGCCGAAAATCTCTTTAATTACAATTATCATAGAAAAGTATGACATCTATCATGAATAATTCCGAACCAATTGAATGCATTCGCTTCGCCTCTAATCATCTATTTATACTTATAAGTAGTATAGAATCACAGATTAATTCTTCTGCTTGGTAATAGAATAATAACTCACATACAATTGTATAAATTATTTTAGATATGTGCGAAGATACAAAAAATCATCTTTGGGCATTACAAGATATTCTTGGACATGGCGCTACATCACAAGTCTATAAAGCATATAATAAATTTACAGGTGAATTAGTTGCAGCTAAAGTTTATCAAGTATCATCGAATTCTCGTTCACCACATGTTGGTGATGGAAAAGCTAATCAAAATCGAGATTATCGTCCTATATTAGATCGAGAATTAGATATACTTAAATCAGCTGATCATGAAAATATTGTTCGATATATTGCATTAGAACCAGTTATGTCATCTGATGCACCACATACATCTGATAAACGTGAAGCTTTATTAATTGAATATTGTAATGGTGGAAGTTTAAATAATGTACTTGAATTACCTGAAAATCGTTATGGTTTAATTGAAGTTGATTATATGTTACTTTTTAAACAATTAACAAATGCATTAAAATATTTACATGATAAAAATACAGTAAGATAAAATATTTATAAACAATAACAACGACATATATATATATATTATTTAGATTCATCGTGATATTAAACCTGATAATATCATGCTTTCAATTAATATTAATGGTGAACGAACATATAAATTAGCTGATTTAGGTGTTGCTAGACTTATTAATGAAGGTGAAAATGCATTTACATCACTTGTTGGAACTGAAGAATATATTCATCCAGAATTATATCGGTAAGAGAAAAAACAAATATTCTAGTGAAATGCTGTGCGATAAATTTCATGATTTTCAAGATTTAAAAAAAATTCCAATTATAGTAGAGTAGAATAACATTAACATACGGTTAATAATAACAATATTAGATAGATAAACTATTTGAGATCTAGATAGAGGTAGAAAACTAGTCCTGAACTACTTCACATTCATAATATGTTCAAGTACAGAATCAGTGGCTCGTGATTTCAATAAAATTAGTGGATTGCAGAGTGAAAAAAGTCAACTCCGGAAACACAAATTTTTCGACTCTAATTCTAAGTTCGACCTCGAGTAAAAATATTTGCGACTTCGAAGGGTATTTTTTTATGACTCCGATTTCGGCTCTGCGGGGTTGGAGTCGGGTTTCGAAGCGACCTTGCGATTTACTAATTAAAATGATTGTGATGTATCAGATAATGAAAATATATTCCTCTAACTTTGATTTCTATCAATGATATTATCACGTTTTTTGCGGGTTATCTACTAATAATTTAAATGGAGTAATATCCTAGAGTAAGATAAAGATATGCTAAAAATTGTTTTTTTTTGATTTAACAGCAATCGATTTATCGTTCAACAAAGCCAAACAATTGCGCTGTTCTTTCATTCTCCTCAATTTTTCTATCTGATAGAAATAATAGATTCTGTTTGTCGCTTACTAGCCTACCTTATGAATTGATTCAGACAAATTCTACTTCGTAATCAAAGAAGTATTTTCTAATACCTTTTGTTCTTAATTTAGAGCTGCTATTCGTGATGATAGAACTGATGTTTTACGAACAGCTTTACAAACACGTGTTGATTTTCCATTTGAAGTTGATTTATGGTCACTTGGTGTCACTCTTTTTCAATGTGCAACTGGTTTGTAGAACATTATTTCTTATCTTCGATCTATCTTTTTATTTTCTGTTAATCTAGGTGAACTACCATTTCAACCATTTGCTGGTACACGAAAAGATCGAGCTGGTATGAAACGCATCTTGGATACAAAACCAACTGGTTGTATATCTGGTAATTAAATTGTTACTATTTAAATATTAAATTAAATAGATAATTTATTTTAAAAATAGGTGTTGAAAATACACCCGGTGGAGAAATTCAATGGTCAAAAACCCTACCAGCATCATGTCGTTTATCAGTAGATCTTAAACAACGATTAGAAGCTTTATTACCGCGTTTACTTGAATCGAATAGAAATAAATTAATGACATTTAAAGAATTTTTTCAAGAAACTGATCGTATATTTAATTTAATGCCTATCTATTATTTAAATTTAAAACGATTTACATTAACATGTAATTACTTCGAACCAACACAAATGATAACAGAATTATATAATAAATTACATCAACAAAATAATGGTGATCATAATGAAGAATATTATTGTCTTTTTCAAAAGTATGTCAAAAATTTTAATAAAAACAAAACATTACTTTTCTCGTCTTCTTCTTTAGTGTATCCTATCCAATATCAAAAAAAAATCCAATAACAATAAAACAATTTTGTGAGCAACTACCAATTCCGACATCACGTGAAACACCACTTGTATTTTATACATTTTCACCTCTTAAATCTAATGATCAATATATTCCCTATCTTCATATTCCTACTGTAAAACCAATTCGACAATTTAATGATGTTGCTGCTGCTTATGATTGGAGTAAAGATATGGTTGGATTATTTATTTATATTAAAAATCAATTAATTGATTATCAACATATTTTACAAACAGCACAATGTTCAACAACAATAATGCAACAACATTTAAAAACAAATTTATTAGAATTTCTTTGTACAATACGTTCGAAACTTATTGTTTTTCGTGCGATTGAAGAATTAAAAAATATTCTTGATCAGATTGATAGTAATACAAGTAGTCAAACAACATCATCAAGTAATATATCAATGAATTCGAATAATGGAAATAATTCTTCGATGAGAACACAATCAACTGGTGGAGGAGAAGGTGCACCATCAATTGGATTCTCACATTTATTTAATAATGCTGCATCATCAAGTGAAAATAGTTTATCACCAGGTATTTTATTTTATCGATAATGTTACATAGAGAAGTGTCTAATCCTATTGAGTGAAATGAAAGAATTTCTAGAATATTTTATATGAGTTTCATGGATTTTTTTTTATAGATTATTAGATATTTCAGTTCTAAGCATTCAAACGTCATTCCAATTATCGAATTTATTCTTCTATGTAATAAATTATAATCGATATTTTTTTTTCTATTGATAGTAATGTCACATCGTTCACCAAGTGCTTCACCCATGCAACTTATTCAACAAAGTATTCGTATTTATCTTCGATCATATCTTCAACCATATGAGCAATTAAAAAAATGTGAACAAGATATATTAGATATGATTGAAAAAGAATTTAGTGGACAATTAGGTATGCTTGATGATCAACAACCATTTAAGAATACATTATGGTTATCACAATTTACAAAAATTTATTCATCATGGATTCATCGAGCTGATAAACATCTAAAAGATTTAATGGATCTTCATGAAAGTTTTCGAAAAGTGAGTTTGTTATGCCTAGATCATTTTTATGATGTGTCTGAAGGAGAATATACTTTACTGAGTACAATCTGTGAATGTTTTAAAAAAAGGAAATTTTTATGGTATTAAGAAGTTTTAATATAGATTCTTATTGTCACTGTAAACATAGACGTAAATCTTAAAGAGATAGTGATTCAGCGAAAATATGCATCTATCATACCATCACATCTTTCAAGATATCTAATTAAATCATAAACATGAACTTTTCGTTTTTCCCTTCCGTCCAGTATTCCCATAACTCATTACAATACAAAACAGACATGTATAGATAAAAGTGCAAGATGAATAGATAATTATTATAATCGGAAAAATGAATATTGAAATAAGATTTCCATTATTCTATTACGTTAGAAATGAGTCAGTCAAGTTTAAAAAGTTTCATATACATTTTTTAATATGATACATTTTTAGTCAAAAGCAAACTAGAAGTATAGTTCTATATTAATAATATAAGAAAAGTTTACACGAATTTTTTACATATTGTTTTGCTACAAAATATGAAATGTTAAACGAAAAAAAGATGTTGAAAATTGATTCTCGTATTGAAAAGCAATTCTATTTTGAAAGACACTTTACTACTAGAGTCTTCATTGAAACCTGCAGTTATATATGAGATTAATATTTGAAAATAGCAAAAGTGGCTATTATAAAAGATTAAATAGGGAATATAAACATCTATAACAGGAACTAAAGATTTATGACTTCTGGATTTGAATCTAAATACTAACGTTTTTTGATTTATATCTGACATTTTCTGTGTATATGAGCAAATGAAATAGAATAAGATTTAAGTCATTTACTAGTTACTCGAAGGAAAAACTATCAGTATCAAATTATTTTTCATTTTCTTCTACTACGTGCATCTGCTATATAATATGAGACCGTACAAAAGCAAAATGCTTTGAATAGACATATGTCTGGACTGAAATACAAATAAAAACATAGGATTGAACTCGATCGAACATAAGTCCTAAATAGCTCTCAGTTCCTTACTTCAAAATGATTATTCATTCACTCTTATCTATAATTCTAAAAATATAACTGAAACAAATTGCAGAGTTTTACCATTAATATCTTTAAAATATATGCGACTTAGTAATTAAATGAATCCATCTAACAATTTCGAAAATCCACATTTAAACGATATGAATGATATCAGAAGATAGTCTATATTTTCTTTTTTTGCAGATAGAAATTTTCATTATCAGGTGATTACCTATATTGCATGCCAATAAATAGCTTATGCATTTCAAAAGTGCATGAACACCATCGGATATGAAATATACATAGAGAACTGTAAAATGCTAGTTTTGTTTCTAAAATTAAAGCATTAGTTTTATAATAATCTGCATGTATGATTTAAAATCAATGTTATTTGAAATCGTAAATTTCAATTTCAAAGAATTAATCTAGAAAAAAACATTTTGCACGATTAAATCTTTACTTTATACTTATCCATAGAGCTTATGCAACAAGATTATCGAATTAGGAAAAGTTTCATATGAAAACAAAATGATGTAAAAAAATAGTTATAATAAATATTGAGTTTATGTGCATCATCTGTGATGTTTTTCACTTTTCTCGAATTATTAAATCAACAAACTGTCTGTTCCTCTTTACTGATTTTAATTGCAGTACGTATTATATTATATTTTTATTTTAGGATCGTTTATTAAATACATATAATCGTTTACAAAGTGATTCACATTTTCGTCGTCGAAAAAATCTCGAAGAACTTCATGAAAGATATGCTCATTTTGCAAATGATGAATGTTATTCAAATTTACTTCAAGGATTTAAAGATTATAATGAATGGATAAAAAAACGTTCAAATATCATTGATAAATTTTATTCAATTCAACAATCTTATGAAAAACAATGTGAAGATATTATGAATTATATTGAAATGATTGATGATCTTCGCACAGTTGTTTACAAAAATATTCGTGAATTAGGTGGACCATCATCATCATCATCATCAAATACAAATGAATATCTTCAAGCACCAATGCCATCAACAATTCTTTCTCATCCACAACAATTCACAGAAAATGATAGTTCTCATTCTCATCAATTGGTGTCAGGTAGTGAAGAAGAAGAAATGGAAGTCAATGATAATGTTCATTCAAATAATAAAACATTAATGAAAAAAATTCGTGGAACAACAAAAAAAACTATTCAACAAGCTGAAGAAGGTTTTATTAGATTAGATCATGTTATAAAACAACTCCGTACAAGTATTCAAAAAAAATAAAATGACATTCTTTTTCCTTATGTGTGTGTTTCTATGTATATTTGTAAAAACAAAAATATCCCTGTAGTGTTCCGGTGAGTGTTATATTCATTTAGTCTATTTTCCTTTTCTCGGTTGTCATTGTGTAATGAAATTTAACAATGTATCTCTCCCTGTTTGTCGTTTATTATAATGATGATATAATGATAATGCCGTATATTTTTTCTCTCTCATTTATTCTGTTGTGTATGTCGAGTCTGTCATTGTTTGTTGTATTTTAAACAAGAAAAATTATGATATTCTTTTATGTTTGCTTTACAAGAAAATGAATATCGAAAATTAGATTATTGATTTTAGTAGAATAGATATTTTCAATAGGATTAATAAATCCGAGTTTATAAGACTTATTATAGATATCAATAGACTAGAGTATAAGATTTTCGAGTACTATACGAACGAACTCTGGGGTAAACATTGAAAATGAATGGAAAGAGAAATTCTCTTTATTCCTGTCGAGTATATTAGAGAGTTTTCCAGATTATTCCAGATTGTATAAAATATATGCAATGTAAAAATCTTCTTGATTTATGTAATACAAATTCACGTTTCAAACCTACACATAGAAATGCTTAATAACATATCTGCACTCCTCAATTTTTACCAATAAATGCGAGTAAAACACGAGTTCAAATAATTTGTTTGACCCTTTTTAGTGCTGGAGACTTATATTATACGTCCTGATGGTGTTATATGACAAAGATGTCTCTAGTATGTTCTTTAATTGAGTAAAATATCTTTTCATCATTTATTAAGCGATGTTAGACAAGTGCAATTATTTTCTCTTTCCTTTCTACTTGTCAGTATCACATATTTATGTTCTGTTTAATTTCCTCTGCTCTGTATGATGACACATACTTTTTCTTACTCAGATGCATTCCGATACGATCAATCTTTCTTCTCATCTATCTGATTTTTGGCTTGAAATAATTCGAAGAGTTTTGACAAAATACGGACTACTCTTGGCGAACCATCGACTCGATATTATCCTTCATTTATTCCATAAATATCCCAATTAAAACAGTCTCTAAGGAAATATATCGTATAATATTTGATGTGATACATGATATATTTGTTCTGATTGCAATGCACCTCTATATGTTGTTAATTGCTTCAAAGTCTACCATACAAAAATATAATCTATCTGTAAAGAAATATAAAGTTTCTTATAAAAACTTCGAAATTTTGCAAGAAAAAAAACGGGGATAATTTGTTTGTATTCTTTTATAAAATATTTCATCATACTTAAAATTTTCTACTACTAAATCAGTTTCTCTTTTAATTATAAGACCGATTATCTATCATATTTTTAGATTACTATTTTTTTTATAATAATGGCATCGGGTGATGAGATAAAACATCATGATCATGATTCTGATGATGAAAATACTACAGCTCATGGCTATAAAGCTCCACAAAAAGTGGATATTAATTCAATTGTAAAAAAAGATGAAGATGATGAATCCTTAACACGTTATAAAAAACTTTTATTGGGTAATTCAAGTACTAGTACACAAATTCAAAATCAATTAATTGATGCTAAAGATTCACGTATTGTTTTACCAATACGTATAACACTTTTATTTGAAAATCATAAACCTGATATAACATTTGAATTAAAAGGTTCATTAGAACAATTACGTGATTTACATTCAAAACGTACTGTAACAATAAAAGAAGGTGAATCTTATCGAACACAATTAGAATATTATGTTCAACGTGATATTGTTACTGGTTTAAAATTAGTTAGTAAAGTATTAAAAGCACGAACAATTACAGTTGATAAATCGAAATATATGATTGGTAGATTTTGTTGTCTTTTTCTTCAAATTATAAATGAAATGTATTTTTATTTTAAGGTTCAAGAGCACCAAGTAATGAATTACAAACATATGTTAGTGATCTTGAACAAGCACCAAGTGGTATGCTATCACGTGGATCATTTTTAGTTAAATCGAAATTAATTGATGATGATAAGAATACATTTGCTGAATGGGAATGGAATCTTGTTATTGCAAAAGATTGGCAATAACTTTTCAAATTATGAATGAATGAACATATTTAACACATTCTTTTTTATGATTATACCTTTTTTTTTATAAGTAATTTTTTGACACAAGAATTTAATTACGAAGTTTATATTTTCGCTTAAGACAAATATTGAATAAAAATTTCATTTTAACTAATTATCTAATTTTTTTCTAGATAAGAAAAACAATCTTCATGCAATCAACAACACTTATTCATTGGCTTAGTCAATTGACTGAACCTGATACTGAGAAAGTAAAACAAGCAACAAAACAATTACAAAATCTTTCGTTAACAAATGATTTTCTTCTACAATTATTTCATGTATTACGTTCTGAACAAAATGATCAAATACGTATATTAGCATCTGTATTACTTCGTCGTAAAATAACTAAATCATCAGCAACAATACCTAAAGATATTCATGAAACATTAAAACATCTTTTACTTGAACAAATACAAATTGAAAGTAATCAACGTATACGTAAATCATTATTTGAATTAATTGGTACAATTGCTAAACAAGATTTACAACATGAAGTTGTTGAAAAGAAAAAGAAATCATCAAAAAAACAAAATAAAAATGAAGTTACAGGTGGTTGGAAAGAATATCTTCATCTATGTGGTACACTTGTTCAATCAACTGATTTAAAACAACTTGAATTAGGTATGCAATTATTTGCTACACTTGCAACTTATTGTGGAAAATTTGTACTCGAACATTGGCCACATACATTTAATCTTATCACAACAATGTTAAAAACAAGACCATCAACAGTTGTTTGTGAACAAGCATTAATTATTTTAACAAGTCTTGTTAAAGTACTTGAACAAAAACAATATGTACAAACTATTGCTGATCTTGTACCTCTTGCAAATGAAACAATACAACATCTTTTTGTTAATCTTAAGGTAATAATTTAGGTACTCTTTCGAAATCCGGAAATGTTTTGAAAAAAAGATTCAGCAGTTTATTTAATAAAGAAATATGTGCGAGAAAGAAGAGAAATCATTTGATTTGAAGATAAGTGATATAGTTCACTTTTTACTAGCCACCAATAAAGAAAGTCCCACGAGATGTTCATCGCCCTCGAAATGTGTGGCAAGTGGGACTGTGAAAGCTCAGGTTCAGTTTTTTCGAACTGTAACTGTCACATTCTTTTTGGCAAGAGTATTGATTTTAGCTAGAAGGTATGGGTGTAGATAAAGCATGAACACAACACCCCCACTCTCAAGATAGTAGACGATAATCATGATTGACGTAGACAACCATAAACATTTATGAAAGAATATTATCATTCTCTTCTGTTAGAACGATATCAGAAAATTTCCGGATTCCAAGACGTAACCATAATTCATATGAATTAAGTCTAGAATTACCTGCTTTTAACACTATTTCATATTTTTGATGTAATTGGTAATTTTGTAGGCTGAAAATACAACTAATCTCTTGGATTTTTATGAAGCATTACTTGATTGTGAATTACCAAATGTTATTGGAGCACATCTTCAAAGTATTATTTCAACTTGTCTTCAAGTAATATTTCTCTTATTTATAAAATTTTGTTTTTATTCAAATTTTTTTTACCTGTAGGTAGCTTTAAGAAATGATGAATCAGTTCTTGAATCAGTACGTTATAATGGTTTAAGTATATTAGCTGAAATTTGTCGACAAAAGAAAAAAGTTTTATTAAAAAATCAAGCAATTCTTCCACCTATTATTCAAGCATTACTTCAAATAATTAGTTTAACATCAATTGATGCTAATAGTACTACTGATGATGATGAAGATGAACCAGTTGTTGTTGCCGGTGCTAATCATGTACTTGAAGCAATGTCATATCATTTATCTCCAGAAAAATTCGTACCATTAGTTGTATGTTTATTTGTCGAAAGATAAATCTTTCCTATTCCTTAATTTTCTATAGATTGCACAAGTTGAACCTATGTTACAAAGTAGTGTTGCAAATGAACGTAAAGCTGCTTATTATGTTCTCTCGGGTATTATTGATGGTTGTTGTGATTATATCAATAATAAGTAAGACAAACTATGAATAATAATTCTTATTTGTTTATGTATATGAAATATTTAGTTATCTTGAACCATATATGACAGCACTTAAAATGGGTCTTCAAGATCCAAGTTCTGACGTATCAAGTGCAGCATTATTAGCATTAGGTGAAACATGTGCTGTTTTAGAAGTAAATTTATTTAGTTTTTCAATTTTATATTTGAGATTGATTATATTTTTAGGGAGAAATTTCGAAATATTCAGTACAAATTTTACCTATTCTAATGGAACTTATGATTAAACCAGAAAATATGCAAAATCATAATCTTAAAGTTATACGAATTTATTATGCTGTTGAAGAAATTATTGGAGTATTAAGTAAGTTTTTAATAATCGATAGACTTAGGGATGTGCAGTGTCGGTTTACTGAGCACTGAATTTCACTGACAACGATTTTCAGTGACACTTATATTCGGTGTTCAGTGCTCACCGTGCCACTGAAATATCGGTGTCAGTGTTCACTGAACACTGAATATAAGTGGTCGGTGTCCACCGTGGCACTGAGATATCGGTGTCAGTGTTCACCGAACACCGAATACAAGTGGTCGGTGCCCACCGTGGCACTGAAATATCGGTGTCAGTGTCCACCGAACACTTATTTTCGGTGTACGGTGCTCACCGTGCCAGTTTTTCGGTGAACACACTGATTTATTGTTGTAAATAATAAGGTTTAACACAAAAATATTTTAGGAGCTGATATCGTCCATGTTCAGTGAACACTGGCACCGATATATTCAGTGGCACGGTGAGCACCGACCACTTAAATTCGGTGTTCGGTGAACACTGACACCGATATTTCAGTGGCACGGTGGGCACCGACCACTTATATTCGGTGTTCGGTGGACACTGACACTGATATTTTAAGTGTCAGTTTTTCAGTATTTTCACTGACACTGCACATCCCTAGATAGACTCATAATAAAAAATTCCTTCCGAAAGTGGATTTCAGTAAAGATGTACGATATGTTCTAGAAATATTTTGAATTAGTAGTAGTATATAAGTTATTTATTATTTATTTTACTTTAATTTTAGATGAAGAACATCAACATACCATACCTGAAGTACTTCGAGTTTTATTTCATGTTCATGCTTCAACAACAAATACAAAAGTTCGAGAATTAGTCCTTGCTGTTTATCCAGCTATTTGTAAATCTTAAATAAATATTAAATAAATTTCGTTTTAATATTTGTTCTATTTAGCGATTGTAATGAAAGATAAATTTGCACCATATCTTGAACCAGTTATAACACAACTCTCACCAAATCTAAGTCAAAAACCAAATGCAGAATCTTTACCGGTATTTTGTACATCGCTTAGTAAGAAATTTTTTGTTTCGAAATATTATATATTAATATTGTTAAATATATATTAGATACACTTGCTTCGCTTTGTCGTGCAGTTGGAACTGATCATTGTAAAGCAATTTTAATACAAGCATTAGAATTTTCACTTAATTTATATGGTGAAATTGATGAACCTGAATTTCGTTCAGCTGTGTAAAGAAATAAAATTATACAAAAAGATGTTTATTTTTGTTTTTCATTTAGATTTGCTCTTGGTGGAGCAGCTAGTCGAGTATTAAAAAATGATTTTAATTCAGTTCATATTAGTAAAATTAATGCACATATCTTTGAATCTCTTCGATCACTTGATTGGATTGAAGTAAGAATATATTCGATAGAATTTTTACATAAGAACATTTGTTTATATAGGATCTTGCCGCAACTGAAACTCGTAAATTAGAATGGGTTGAAGAAGAAGAAATTGATACTACAGCATCTGGAATTAATGATATAGCAGAAGCTAGTGGTAATGAAGAAAATGATGAAGATAATTCTGATAATGATGAACTTGAAGATGAACGGTATCAAAAAAAAATGATTTATAATATTTTTAGATATTATTTTTAATCTAATAGAATGACTATTGAAAATGCTCATGTAGAAGAAAAAGCAGCTGCAATAGAAGCATTAGGTGATATTGTCGAAAATTGCATGTAAGATATTCTTTTAATTTTCATGATCGAATATTATTTATTCAAAAAGTGATCTAGAAATGATTAGCAATACTTTCATTGTTCCAAAAACGATTTGATAGATAGAAAGATTTTTTCGCTGAGATTTGTATTTATACAAAACTTCGAAATATTAATTTTTCCGGAAGACTAATAGATTAGCCTTCAAGTACAGGGTGGCCCAAAAGTCACGCACCTAACAAAACAATTAATATCTACCTTACAGCTTGAGCAAACGGACTGATATTTTTCTATCTGCGACAAAGTAAATTTTTCTTGTTGACGTCAATAGTGATACTTAACAAACGGTTTCCTTAGACATATCTTTATTGATATAAACTTAGTATATGCCTCTACCATTGGTAAAAAAATGAGCTGGTTTGGTCGAGCCGTAATGGAGATATTGATTTTTTTGTTTGGTGCGTGACTTTTGGGCCACCCTGTACTTTCTCATCAATCACAAGCGAAAAATTCGAATGATTTTGTTAATTGTATTCTAGAAATGATCTAATTATAATCAAATTTTAATTTTGATATTCAGTAAATTTGAAATCTATTAAATTTGTTTATAGGGTTACTGTTTGGGCAAACTTAAAAGATATAGTTGAACATATAAAAAATATGTTAGAATTTCCAAATCTTCAATGTTCACAAAATGCAGCTACAGCTGCAGGAAATCTTCTCATATCAATTCATAAAATGACAACACAAACACAAATAACAAATGAAAAACAACTTGTTCAAGATGGTATATATATATATATATAGTATTCCTCATTTTGTATTTTTCTATTCAAATTATTTTAGAATGCGATCGTTTATTAATTGATTTTATACCAACTTTATGTACAATCATAAATACATCATCAAGTCGTTCAATGGCACAAATAACACTTGATGTAGTAAAATCTATTTTAGAAGAAGTTAAATTAGATATGCTTAAACATGTAACATTACTTGAAAAAATTGCTTATACAATTCAAAAAGTTCTTAATTATAAAGTAAAATAAGAAAAATAAATTTAAATTTCTAATTTTATTTTTTTCTAAAAAGACAAAATGTCAACAAGAAGATGATGAAGATAATGAAGAAAGTGGTGATGGTCGAGAACAAGATGGTGATGATGATGCAGAATATGATGCTATGTTAATATCAACTGGTGGAGATCTTCTACCAATATTAACATCTATTGCATGTACTGGTAAAGTTGCATTCTTACCTGGATATCTTCATTCAATTATTCCAAAATTACAAAAACGTCTTGTAAATTTAATTAGACAAAAAATATTTGGAATTATTTATTTTTTATTATATAGAGACATCAAGCAAGTGTATCAGATCGTTCATTTGTTATTGGTGTACTCGCTGAAACAGTACAAAATATGAATGATATATTGATTACACCACATTTACAATCACTTTTTACAAGTAAAAATAAACTCAAAAAATAATGAAATAAAATAAAAAAGCTTTTTTCTAGTGTTCTATCAATATTTACTTGATGATGATGATGAAGTACGAACAAATGCATGTTTTGGTATGGGTATTCTTTGTGTAATAGCTAATCAACAATTAGTTGGACAATATGAAACAATATTAAGTCGTCTCTCTCAAGTTTTAATTAAAGAAACAAATATAAGAATGATTGATAATATATGCAGTTGTCTTTGTCGAATGATTGTAGTCTCACCAAAACATGTACCACTTGGACAAGTAAATATAAATTTTTTTAAAGAATAATGCATGAAAAGTTAGAGATTAAGTAATAAAAAACTATGCATATACCTATGACAAATAACAAATTTTTAGTTTTGATCAATAGTGTATTTAAAACTTCATACTTTTTGTGATTTCGATAACTTTACAATTACTATATAAATAAATATCTTGTATTGTATTTTAGGTTTTACCAGTTATTTTTCAACATTTACCACTACGAGAAGATTTTGCAGAAGCTAATTCTGTATTTACTTGTCTTAGTTTATTATACGAACAGTATTTTACTGAGGTACAATTTATTTATATTTACATAATAATTAAATTCGTATTTGTTGAATAGATTGAACCATATCTTCCAAAATGTATTGAAATGGCAGCATCGATAATTGATGATGAACGCGTTTTACCTGGTAAAATTATTCAATTGATTTTTTTTTGAATTTATTTACATATATATGTAGATGCGGTTCTAATTATTCGAGATTTTCTCCGATCAATCTATACAAAACATAGTGTTGCTTTTGTTCAAGTAATGCAAACATTAAATGAACCATTGCGTGTTATTGTTACAAAACATCTTCAAACAAATTAACAAAGACGATTGTTTGGTCATTAAGCAATCCCCGGTTTTTTGTTATTCTTATTTCAAGAAGAAAATAAAAAAAGAAAACATCTTGTTATTGATAAATAACATAAGAAAAAAAGATCGATCTACTTAATAAGAATGATTGGTTTGATATTCAGTGAAAATCCGAATGTCTCGTATTTTAAAAGTGAAATTTCTTCTTTCAAACACTTGGACGAAATACTTGATTTTTAAATAGCTTTGCTCTTTACAATATTAAAGCAAAAGATGTCCCGTTGTTTTCTCTTTGGAATAGTGAAACGCTCGGCTCTCTGGTTCTTTCCGTTCTTGAATTATTGCAAAATTCCTACAGTTACTCTATTTTTGGACATATATTAATTAGAAAATCTAGTATTTTTCATATTGCAGACTTATTTTACTCGAAAAATGAAAGGACTCCTGTATTCTGCAATTGTTCTATGTTATTTGTCTAATTATTCGAAAAATATTCACATTTATTCAACTCTAAAAGAAACGTTAAAGATATTCTGCATTGTTATACTCAATTTCATATCTCACGATCAGTAGTTATATCAATTAGTTCTAAAGCAATGAAACCCTTAAAGATTTTTTAATGGACTCTTATGTCATATTCTAGAGAAAGAATGTTCATTATTCTATTATTAAAACTTAAAGAATTTCGAAGTATATCGCCCACTATTTTACCGCAAATTATAAAAACGATTTAAGAAATACGATAAATTCTTTTGAAAGAAAACTTATTTAAATATGTACTCAGCTGAACTTATGAGACAATCTATATATAGAATTCGTGATCTATTTATTTTATGTCAGATAATATATATATATATATATAAATGTGTATGTGTTTAGTTGGTAATAAAAACTCTTAGAATGAAATTGACAAATCTCATTTTTAACAACGATAAACACGTTTCCCGTAGATTATCATTAATTTAGAGAGACAACTGTTTATGTAGTTGCAGTTGATTGAAGTACTTAAAATGATTTATTTTACATATGTGACGTCAATATAATAATAATAAGATTATATATGTAGGAGAAAAAAAAATGAAATATATTATTTCACAAGGTTTTATTATATCTGAGCATTTCCAATTTATCTATTACCAAGTAAGTATCCTTAGAATTAACTGAAATATATTAGTCAGAATTGAACTTACATTAATATAGTTTGTAGAGCTGATTGATACGATATTTTTATCACATACCTTTGATATTGTTAAGTGTTTAGACAAGAACATGCTGACTTGTAGACAATATTCTTATTGTATCGAATTTTAGTATAGATTATATTACTTTGTGTCTCTTGTTTTCTAACATTGAATTATGAATAACAGAATGTAAGTAATGTAAATTCATTTTCATTTATTTTAACGAATAGAATTATTATTCAGACAGTAGTTCTATTTAATGGATCATGAGTTTAAGTAATTGAATGAGGTAGAAATAGTTCTTATTTTAAAGCTTAAATATTTCTTTATTGATTGTTCATTCTTTCGAAGATTTTTCATTAAACTTTCAATTTAAGGCATTTTACTATATAACTCATAGTTCATATCCTTGTCTTTTGGATTACATACTGAAGTAAGCATATTGAATTGTTACAATACGAATTCTATTTTGGTTAATGTGATTCAACTTGTTATATGTACATAATTGTTTCATTGATGTAGACTTCTATCAAATTGACATATAAAACATTCGATAGTTTAACTAGATCTATAAAGTCGTTTTTGTCAGAATGAGATTAATAAGAAACTACGGTTTCAAACATCATCAAATGACTGATATATTTTTCTGTTATTATTATTATAGAAATCAGCATATCTTATACGTTAGGCTATATATAGATCTCTTCATAATAAACGTATCATATGTAATCTGCTCCCTTTTTTATTTATTCATTGTAATCTAAGAGAGTAATGTTTTATTGAAAGTTACAACATGAGATGAAGAGGAGAGAACACACACACATTCTAATCCTGATGAGCTTAATTAAGTGAAATAGAAGAAAAAAAATGTTCTTTTTAACCGATAAAATAATTATAACAATAACGTAGTTTTCGCATCGTGCGTAATAATCAAGATTTATATTATACTAGAATGTATAGTTGATTGTACGAATGATTTACAAAGTCATAATTGATTTTTCTATGAATTATTTGAAAGATCTAAATAAGCCATTAAACATCAACACAATGAAGTTGATATCCGGTGTATCTAAACAGATTTTCCTTCATACTTATTTTTATATTGTCAATGTAAAGTAGTATTTTCATGAAAACTAACTTTTTACTATCGGTTTATTACATTGTTATAGAAAACTAAGTTCAGTGATCAATTGTTCAGCATTTGATAATGTCCTTATTCATGAACTAATATCCGTTTTTGGAAAAAAAGGCGTTGGAAGAGAATGCTTTTAACATTTAAATGGAAAATGATAGAGGCCTGTGGTTTTCACCGTTGGATAGAGAACATGTGGGACACGTAAGACTATAAAGAAAACAGATCTGCTATGCTTATTACCTTTTAATCAGAAAAGTGTGTCAGGTTATAATCTCAGTGTCCCAAAAGATTTGAACCTAGTTTTAATACCCTAATAATCAGCATCCATGTTTTTTTGTCCCTGGGGTATCTCTCAGATATCGAAAAAAAAATCCGATCTCCCACGTTTATTTATAGATCGATAGCGCTCATTTTATTGATTACAAGTATTGCCTTACTTTTTTAAATTGATCGGATAATAGCGCAGTTCCGCCCACACCCACCTTGTTTTAAAAAACAGATATGAGATCACTGAGAGCATACGATTAAATCAATGTATGTTTAATTTATTTTCCATCATTACAATAAGAGTATTAATTAAGTCGTTTTTCGTATACTCAGAGATAGATTCTATTAGATTTCAATCAAAAATTTCATGCAATAAATTATATTTGTCTGTGAGTCATATTTTACAAGTTGTATCTAATGATTCTCTATTAATTGTAAATGAGGTATTCAATAACTTCTTCTCTATCGTTCTATTCCCTAATTAATATTCATCTAATTGATATTCTCTTAAATAAAACAGATTCTGATTAGAGTTCATATAAATTCATATCCATCCTATTAATATTCATTGAGTTGCACTCGATTGAATGAGTTCTATTTAAGTCCTAACTATTTGACAACGATACATTTTCCTTCAATTAGAATTCTAGTTATAAGAGAATTTTAAAATATTATAAATCATAATAGACGAATCGCTCGTATTGGCTGTTAATTATAAAAATTCATGAGCGACTTTGACAGAATAACATAAGTTCGAGCTATTGAATCAATTGTATGGAATAACTTCATTATATTTATCAAGAAAGAAGGAAACGCCAGTTTTAATTTCTTACAAAAGAAAATTCTACTATATCTTTTTCTCATGATACCGAATATTTGCAAATAAATTCTTCTTTTATAGTAATTAATCCATATTATTTTAAAAGAAAACGCCATGGCATTTCGTATTCTTGCATTCAGTATTTTTATTTCAATGATATATTTTTATTCAATTGAATCATTACCATTCTCGGATGATTTACCTATTGAAAATTCTTTATACCCAAATCTTATTAAATTACCAACTGATGTAATGTATCCATCAAATTTTATTTCAATTATATGTCAACAACAAGAACAATATCCATTAAAATTAACGAATAAATTATGTTCAAATTCTTTTCATTCATACGAAATACATGAACAGCAAAAACAACAGCAACGAGGTAAACGAGTCGGATGGACAATTAGCGTTTAAAAAATAACATTTAAAATAAAAAGAAAATTATTTATTTGTTTTGTTGAAAAAAAATGAAATGAAATGAATATAATAATACATAGAAAAATCTATTTACAAATTTGATCTTTTCATTCGTTGTTGTTGCGATGTAGTTATACGATTTCGATCTGAAAGAATTATCTGTTGACGATAATGATGATGTTTATCTGAATCAGAACTCATTGTACATGATATTTGAATATCTTTTAATGCCCATAAAC